ATTAAATTTTTTTAGTCAATTTTTGCACCATGAAGTTTCTGGCCATTTGACTCTGAATCATGTGTTCTGCTTAATCTTCAGTTGTAAATTGCCAAGTACAACTGCTTGATTTGCTGAGTAAAGTGGGGCAAGACCCTTCAGATAATTTTTTTGCTAAACGAAGGGTAAGATTGTGAATATTGAGAGGTGGGAAGTGGATTTTGTCATATGCCTTCCTACCAGTTCATTCATAATTCAAGCACAAGTTAATAGAATACCTCATTCCCAGAGATGAGCCAAAGAAGAAACCTTTGAATTAGTGAAGTGCTTTTGATTGTAAGAGAAACAGAATTCCAGTATAATTCCTGAACAGCTAATCTTGTATAATTATCATCATAGCTTTCCCTTGAACTATTTGTTGTAACATAAATTCCTTTCAGATAAAGTAAAAAATACTAGTGCTATCTCAGATTCTTATTAAGTGCTGCAAAATCATAGAAATCAGCTGTGGAACAACAGATTCGGTGCACAGTCTGCAAAATAATCTGCAGATATAGAGCGTACAAGACAAATAACCATGTTATTGTTACTGTTCCTAGGACTCTCTTGCCTTAGGAAAGAGTGATGAAGAGGCATTAAAACAGTTTAAGCAGAAATTTGATGAAGCACTCAGAGAAAGTTGGACTACTAAAGTGAACTGGATGGCACACACAGTTCGGAAGGATTACAGATCCTGATTGGTTGATGAATTTGCACTAACCTTAAAAGTTATCCTGACAATAAAGCATTAAAGGAGAAAAAACAGACTGTTTAAAAAGAGACCCAGGAAAGTTGCCTGAGGGATTCTTGATTATTTTGCACTCTGCTTTGGGAATGCTTCAAGATTTTGCAGAATCAGTAATCGCTTCTGCTTACTTTGCACACTGAAAGTTACTACTAAACTTTTATATTGTTTTGATACAGTGTAAATATTTGGGACCTTTTATGCTTAGGCAGAGTGCTCAAACTCTGTCTAGATGGTTAGAGATTTCTTGAAGAACTGATTACTAAACAGCATCAGAGGTTTTCATAATGCCTTTAATTTTGCTTCAAGTGAACTTTAAATGCATCTATACACCTATATTTTTACTGGCATAAACATCCATTCTACTGTACATAACAGCCAGAATATTGCACAGCAAAAAGCTTATTTCTTTCTACTGCTGCCAGAAAAGAGACCTCTATACTTAATAATGGAAAAATGTAAAAAGATTGTCCCTTTTACTATAATGTTGTACAATGTTGTGTTGGTGTAATGTTTTAAAATTTATGTGGATGGGGTATGTTTGAAATAATTTTCAGTTGTTAGAAAAATTACAAAATTGAGTGCTGAACATCTTTTCAAAAATTTCACAGCATCTGAAATGTTGGAGAAATGTCAGTAAAAGGAGTTAGCCTTTCAATTTTCCAGTGATATCCGTAACAGATTGTCCACGCCATGATATATATGGAAAACATGAAACAAAATCTCCTTACAAGGTTTATACATATCTCTCAAATCTGTGTTTGTCAAAACCAGTTGTTTTTCTTTTTTTAAATGCTAAAACATAGCATTTTAAAAAGAGATTTCAAAATGAAGTCAAATCCACCCTGTGCTGTACTCAGTGACAAAACACCAACAAGGAAAAACAGATAAATTAAAAACAGGCAAAATGTCTGAATGGTTCCTGATATTTTTGCACCCTGCTTTGGAGTGCTTCATCAAGATTTTGTAAAATCAGTAATCACTCCCACATACTCTGCATGGTGTGGTACTGTTTGTGATAAAAGCATCTTCCCAGGATGTTTGTGTTCAGCCTTAAAATGACTGTGATTGAGAAACTGGATATACTTTAATTTATGAAACGAGGTACCCTGCTTTAAGGTGCTTAAAAGAACAGTTCAAATTAAAAGTGCAATAGAATTTGTTAGTTTAAAGATGTAACACGAAATATTTTGAAACAGTGGCGAAGTGGACTTGTAATAACCTCTTGCTCGCCAAAGAACCTGGTTGCTCTTAATTTCAGTGGTGATCGAATAAACATAATTATGATCAAAATAATGATTTTAAATAGGAAGTGCATTAAAGACTATTATACTTTGTCAAAGGTTTCTGTTTTTCTAAACAACGTTGTGAATAATAAACATAGTTCTTAGATGTTTGAAATCTTGTTAAAATGTTAAGAGTCAAATACTGAGGGAGAATAATACAAGCATGTAGCTAAACTGCAAAATATATTGTAGTAACAGGCTTTCAGTATGAAGTGATTGTTACAAAAGTGTGCAAGAAAGATACTCAGTTGCCCTGTTCATTTTCATTATTGAAAGGTCAGTTTTTTAGTTTTCATTTTCAGTTCATTGCTTTAAATCATCTTTTTTCTATTAATTTTAAAAGAAGACATATTTTGCTACCTACGATTATGGGATGTTTTGAATCGTATGAGTTTTTCATATATTAGACTACTGCTTTCCATCTACTTCACCCCCATCCCCAGCTTTGTGCCTGCTGAATTTCAGACACAGAGAAAGTCAGTTTTATAAGCCATTTACATACATTTTGCCTTGGGTATTAATGGGAGGCCGTCTGTTCTTCTCTCACTTGTAACCGTTTTATGGTATATCCTTCTGTTGTGAAATTTGTAAGGCTTAGTCATGCAAAAAATCAGACCTACCAAAGCTAGCCAGGACAAAGTCTCCTATTCTATAGGGTTCATTTGATTCCTGTCACTTTTATAACTCTCTCACCTTCCTCCCTTTAACTTATATAGCCCATTGCTATGTATGTTAGGTGTTTTTGTAGTAGAACACAGAAGAAATGCAAGTTAAAACAATAGTGAATTTTTAATTTGGAATTCATCAGTTGAATTTATTTGGTTTTGTAATTGAAATGAATGAGATTTATTCATTCTTTTAAACTATTAAAATGAATGCACATCTATGAATGCATGTGTCTAGCAACTCTGCTTTTCTGAAGCCTCTTTGTTTTGAGACCCTACTGATATTTGTCATACAGCTAACACACACACTATATTGCATGGGAGCAAAAAAATGAGTTAATATCTGCTCTACCAATGATTGCAGGTGCTAATGGAAGTGCTATTATAAAAAGTAAATACAAATATGCTCTCCAGTTTACCTCAACTCCTGGTGAATACATTGGCACATCCATGCAATTTTCATAGCAAGAGCATGGAAGTGTTTTGTCATTACCTTTTTCCTGGATGCTGCTTCAATTTTCCAATTTAATTTACAGCCCTGGAATCCCCTGGACATGGTTAGCATTTTTCCATGCTGTCAGCAGGAGTTGAACCCAAGTTGGCATGTAACTAATTCTAGATACTAATTGGAAATACTGGTTCTTACCTTTTTACTTACCAATACACAAATGGAAGAGCTTCTTTGGAGTTTTCTTTTCTCATGCTCCTTGCAAACACAAAAGGCGTCTTGGGACTAGCTTATTTACACTTTATCAATACAAAAAGGCAGATGCAAAAGAATGTGTGAACTACTGAACCTTTGTGCTGATTCCTCATGCAAGCAAACGAAGAAGAACGGAGCCATACATGGAGAGTGAAATGCCAAAAGCACAGGCAAATTTCAGAAAAGGTAGAAAGGTATAATATTAGATAGCCAACATAAGATGTTGGAAGAGTCAAAGAATATAAAAAAGATTTGTCTTTGCTTTATTGACTATCTGGGGGGTGTCTTTGTGTATATCATGACTGTGAAATATAATAAGGTTAATAGATTATGCCACTACATTTTTTTATTCTTCCAAGGAACCTTTACAGTGAATGATAAGATATTGAATTTGGAAAATGAGTGGCTCAGAATGGGAAAGGAGGTGAGAGAAGTATACATATTGCCCCTGTATGTTTAACTTATACAGTGAACATACAGACATGGCAAAGATAGAAGCAATATCAACTGGAATCAAAACAGGTCAAACACAATCTGAGATACGCAGATTACAGTTTTGTTTTCTGAAATGTATAGGTTGCCTCAATCTGTCACAACTCTGGGCAGCTTACAAACTACAGCAATACAAACAGGGATACACATCACCTAAAAAGAAAGTCTGGAAAAAACAATCATCTAATAGACCCAAAACATCACAGAAGTGGTCTATCATCCACTATGACCCAGAGCCTGAGGGAAGAGCCAGGTTTTAAGGGTTTATTTAAATAGGGCAAGGGTGGGAGCTGTACAAATCTTGGGAGAATGTGTTCCAGAAAGTATCACCCTGACAGGTCCCCTGCGTCCTGGCTCCCACAAAGTGACACCCCACAGAGTCAACATTGACTGGAACTGACCACAAAGGAAGGAAGAGAATTGCTAGAATACCGTGCTCCTGACTCCTAATCCCTGCAGGCCATTCAGAAGTCAATGCTATCAAAAGTGTCTGAATGCTGTTTTTTTTGTTAGCCAAAAGTAAAATCTTAGAAGAGCTAACTCTGAGAGTAAAAATGAAAAATCCCAATTAATGTTAAATCCTAAAACAAAATAACCAGAATCCAGCATGCAAAGTGAACTTTGATGTGACAGCAAAGAACTGAAGTGGTAGACAATTTTGTTTTCTTGATTCAAAGACAAAGATTGAGAGAGTACTGAAAAAGCAAAAAGATTAATCTTAGACACCCCTGATGGATTAGGATCATGAGAAGTAATATTTGTGTGCCAACCACAGAGTAATTAAAGCAATGGTCTTTAAAGGGTATAGCTCTTAAGAGTTGGGCACTGAAAAAAAGTGAAAGACAGACACTTTTCAGTAGCAGATTTGGAGATGATTACTAAGAATACCACAGACTGCAAGAACCACCAGTTAGTTCTGGACCAAATACTATAAAAACAAATGTCTCTTAAGGCAATCATCGGCAAGCAGAAATTCACAACTAGGTGTATGATGAACAGATAATGGAGTAGAAAAAAATGGGAAGTTTAAAGGCAACTGAGGAAGGGGAGGACAACAAATGGGTGAATGTCCTTGGATTATCATTGGAGATTGATTGAGATAGTGAACATTTGTCCATAGAGTCACTAAGGGATGAACCTGACTGAGTGACACCTAATTTACTATGGGAAGTTATTAAGTTCAAATGAATGGTTTCATTGTATTGTCGAAGGCTTTCACGGCTGGCAAACTTCCAGAACACGGCCACACAGCCCGGAAGACCCACACCAGCCATCGAATGGTTTCATTATTGGGGAGCTTTAGAACTCCAGCTCTGCATTGCGCCTGGTTTCTTGAAAATTTTTGGTAGTTTAGCCTCACTAGTCGTATAATAAGACCAGTCATACAATAGGCTTACAAAGTTCTGAAAATGCTTTTTCACCTAAATAGGATGAGGATCTCTATATGAAGTAGAGCCCATCAAAGGCAATAATGTGATCTGAATAAAAGTGTGCATGCAACAAACTGATTAGGGCTGCCAATCCTCACTGATCCAAGAAACATAATACATCTGACAAATTCGTATCAAGAAAGAACCAACTTCAAACAAATATTTTTCAATGGACATTCCAGAACCAGTCAAGTTTTGAATTGATAAAAACAGGATGAATAGGCCAAAAGCATAAAATATATACATTTAGGATAAAGTTGCTGGGAGTTGGGTGGCATATAAATGTAATAAATTATTAAATGCAACTTTTCAATTATATTTCAAAAGTACCTTTATGTCTACTACTTCCTATTACCTCGGAATAATTTTTCTGAAAATAACCACAAGCATGACCCATCAGGAATTCAAGACCTATTTTTTCCCCCCTTTATGATGGATCAATTCTACTACAACACTGAAAATATATAAACTCATGAAGGATATTGTTTCAGAGGCAATTGGACCTAAACAATGATGTTGTAGGGCAGGTCTGGGCAAACTTTTGACCACTGAGAGCGTGCAAAATGGGTGGAGGTAAATACTTTTTTCATGTTTTTTCCTAGGTTTGGAGGATAATATGAAAACCTAGTCTGGGGTTACACTATGTTTTTATGACTTCCTTTATTATATTAAATAGGTAGTATCCTCCCATAAAGATACTTGCAATAAAGAAAAGGCCATCCATTCCTGCTGCGTGTTCTGTCCCTTGGTGCCTGCTCAACGGTCCCTCAGCATGCTACTTCCTGCTCTTTCCCTGCCTACAGACTTTAATCCTCCTGTGTTCAATTAGCTGATATTCCCAGATGCATGTTAAGTACCCATTTTTGTAGTAAGTGGTAGAAAAGCTATATTGAGGTTTGCACTATAAATGGAATCAGAAATGTACGCCCATGGTTGCTTGCATGTGCCTGAAATGTAGCTATGAGAAGCTTTCCTTAATCTACAACCACGTATGTATGAGAACTGCTGATGTTTCCATGTGCTTCAATGGAGCTCCATCAGCCCTAGGAGGCAAAAGCAGTAGAAGATTCTAAATGGCAAAGGCCATAGATGGCTGCCTCCATATGTAATCTAGATCCTATGTATTATGTTTAGCTTTTAACCAACTTTCATATGACTCCTGATACCTAAATTTGCCTAGAAAATGTCCAAAGCAGATGGAGTCTATATATTCCAGACTTTTTCCCTATCCCTTTCAATATAATTTCCACACAAGCATTGTTTATTAATGGTTTAAAATTTTAATAAAACTTTAATACCCAGAAGATCTCTTATAACTGGTAGCTAATGAGTTTTAATATACTAGCTTAACTTGCCAAATTCTTTGGGCATATGACCTCATTCCTCTCAGCTAATAATATCTGTCTTTTAAATGTAATATGGAGAATAGATGCCACCTGTTGCAATTTCACCAATTAACCCTAGTAGTTATTTGGTAAAAAAGCTATTAACTTCCTGCTGTTATATAGCAAGCATATACACACATATACATATCAATCGGTCTGAGTTGCCTCCATGCACTCATGGTAAGAAATTAAAAGACCTGTAGAGATACATTTTCTAATATTGTTGTGAGGTTACAAAACCTGACACCAAACAAGGCCTTGTAGATATATCTGAAGCATGTTTCTTACATACATGGTGGTCTTGGGGTAACCCAGAAGCTGAGCAGCATGAGGAGTGCCTTCCCCTATCATAATGGTCCAGCAAGCTATGAGCAATAAAACTGCTTTCAGTATGTAGCATATTGCATACACTGCAGGCAATAATTTCACATTTGGGGCACATTTTTCCAGAGTGAATCTTCTCCAAGGAAGGCACCTTCTCTTTTGTTGCCTTCAACTTCCTGAAGTCTCTTCTTTGCAAGCCTTCTTTCTTGTCTTCAAAAAGAAATTTGTTTTCATTGGGACTGAAAAGCCAGAAAACAGATCAGTGGTCTGAATGGAAGCAAACACATTATATCTGTTATTTCTGCAAATACGAGGTAATCTAAAATTCAATCTGGGACTCTTGCATAATAGGAGAAAGGGAAAGCCTTTAGCCTAAGGCTGAAGTATGGAGCTGGTCCTCAGTATTGGGACTACTGAGAACTGTAGAGGGAGGGATTAGTTAGGATGGCATAGGTGAAGTCCCCAGTCCTCATGAAGGAATGAATACTTCTTTAGCAGTTTCAAAACCTATAATCAATAAGGAAGATTGAAGATATAACTGGAGCCTCTGGAGCAGACATGTCTCCAGTACAGTCACTTAATCAAAGGCAGAGGAGAAGTTTCATTCAATGTTAACTTCTATCAGCTAGAGAACCTGCTCTGCCTTTTGAAAACTAGGGCTTCAAAGTAAATGTTAGAGCCTTGGACTAGCCATTCCTCCTCTTCCTCCTCCTCCCAGTACTGTGGGATTGGGAACCAGCCAAAGCAGAATGGAAACCCTAACCCTGAAGGGTACTCAATACAGGAAAGTTGGATTTCAGCTTCTACTGGTAAGAAATCTTTTACTATGACATCCTGGATATGTTTACTCAAAAAAAAAAA